ATATGAACCCAAGAGACAGAACAATAAAATGCAAAACTAGTGAAACAATCCTCTTGTGAAGTCATATTTTTTAAAAAGGACAACTTATGTAGAAAGAGGCCTCAGGATCTTTCCCATAGTAAGCAGGGGGCCTTCATTACTGAAAATGAAAGTTGCACCTTGCAATACATTGAAACAATTTAGCAGGTTCATTCAGCTTCATTACATGCTTTGTTTCACTATATCTGACTTCTGTATAAGTGGGTTCCCAATATCTATGTAAATCTCTCTCTCCCTCTCCCCACCTACTCACACAGACATCATTGCCTTTATTAACATGTATTAAAATAAATGCTAAAAACGACAAGGTATGCACCAGAAGAAAATAATAAAGCATTTTCACACCAACAAAGGTTATTTGCTCAGGTCCAGTGAATACTGCCACTCTAGTATTTGCTGATTAAATAACATGCATGTTAAAAATCAATCAACACCCAAATGATCCATTTTAATAATGGGTTGCTCCATCCATCTTCATACATTTTTAAAACGGAGTCATTTGGAAGTTAAATGCCGTGCTCAGAGTGAAGATTTCAGCACTCAGAGTTAGGCATGTAAATAAGCTGGTTTGGTTTACACAAGCGCTAGGCTCCCAGCAGCTCCCATGGAATCCGTGGGTATTCACCACTCCTTAAAAACAGGCAATTTAGACTGGATTTAGCAATCTAGTTTTAGTCCCTGGAAAGGCAGAGACTCTTTATCCCAGATTTCCCCAGGAAATATATCCACCTCCCAGTCTGGCTTCAGAAGGAACTAGCAAGAGCTGGTTTGGTTTACACAAGCGCTAGGCTCCCAGCAGCTCCCATGGAATCCGTGGGTATTCACCACTCCTTAAAAACAGGCAATTTAGACTGGATTTAGCAATCTAGTTTTAGTCCCTGGAAAGGCAGAGACTCTTTATCCCAGATTTCCCCAGGAAATATATCCACCTCCCAGTCTGGCTTCAGAAGGAACTAGCAAGGG